AGCGTGCCGGGGTCGGAGACCCAGTGGGATAGCCTGCCACCCCCTCAGCCCCCGCTGCCCCGCACGGCCGCGGGACGGCTGCCGGGGCTTCCCCGAGCGCTGCCGCCACCGCTGCCGGGCTCCCCGGTCCGCCCCAGCACCCACCCGCTCCCGTGGCAGCCTGGGCTCCACCGCGTCGCTTACATGTTCTCCCGAGCGTTGCCGGCTCCGTCCCGCGGCGCCGCCGCCGGCAGGGTCCCGTCCCGCAATGCCCGGTGCCAGCAGCGCCGGCCGCGGCACGCCGGGTCCTAGCGCTGCCCGCCGCGCCAAGGGCACCTCGTGGGCGGGCTGGGACAGCCTGCAGCTTCGGGGCCGCCGGCACCGCAGCCCGGTGTTCTTACCCCTCACACCCCGCTCTGCCCCTCTGCCCGCAGCTGCAGCGTCCGCACCAGCGAGAGGGATGCTGCAGCGGTCGCCACGCTGCCGCAGCCCCGGCACAGGGATGGCCCGTGCTACGGCTTTTCCCAGTGCTTTCCCACCTGCTGGAGCAGGCAGCTGGCCCTCCTGCCACGGGGGTCCCTGCCCCGGGAGGGGGGCATCGCCGTGCTGCCAGTTTGCCCAGGCAAGGAGGGCAAGTGCTGGCAGCCAGTCCCGCCAATGCTGCTCCTCCTTTCGCTACCCCCTGCACCGGCACCAGGCTCCGAACCCTCCTTGCAGCTATGGGACTGGAAAGCACCAATCTCAGACTGGAGGCAGTGTGAGATGGCTACAGAGCTCAGCACAGGCCCCCAGCTGCAGGGTGACCTTGCAGCAGGACTGCTGAGCAGCCAAAATGCAGGACAAGACCTTGGCTCAGTGGAGGGGACTGGAGCCAGACCCCCTTCCTGGTATCCAGGGAAATGAGGCACAGTAGGGACAGTGCATACTCTGCTCACCTCCCTGCCTGCACCCTGCCCTTACCTCGATGGCTCAGCTCTCCTGGTGCCAGATGATGCAGCCTGCAATCTCCTCGCTGCCTGGTGCCAAGCAGGGTTGGGGTTTCCCAGAACAGCAGCAGAACCAGGGTGCGGAGGCTTTGCCACCCCACAGGCTCTGCAGCTGGAGTGGGTTTCAGAGCCCTGGTGCTGGCTGGGGCTGGCTGAGCAGGGCTTCCGCTGGCTTAGCAGGTGGAGGCTGCATGCACGGGCAGATTAGTGGGGGGGGGGAATTGGCTTCTGCCATAGAACTTCAACCGGGATTCGTCAGAGCGTTGCAGTGGGGCCAAGTGCCAGCAAAGGGAAGGAGAGAGGGACGCCTGTGGGTGGACAACCACCTTGGGGGGACAATGCAGGCTGTACAAGGGGAGCACTGAGAGCAGTGCTGCAGATGCCAACATCATCCCTGGGATAGGGTCATCTCTCTGGTGGCCCATGTCACTCCATGCTGCTGTGTGGACTCAGGCCATGGCAGGACACTTGCTGAGCTCCCACTCCATCACTGGTCAGCATCGACCCCCTGGGGCCAGCAGGGGAGCCTTCAGTAGAGCACCCTGCACCCACTGCCCCCTCTGCTGGGCCCCTCAGCTGCTCAGGAATGAACTGGCACCAGCCCACCAGCTGCTCTCCTGGTATGTGCGGCCGGAGCCGGAATGCTGTGTCTTGGCCTCCTCCCTGGCCTGGCCAGGCCTGGCCCCTGCCCAGACCTCCCATCCCACTCATCTCTTCCCATTAAGGAAGTGCAGGCAGCTGAGCTTTGGTGTTGGAGGAAAACAGGTGTCAGAGCCAAGAGTGATGGAGCCAAGTGGAGGGTGGGAAGGCACAGGGGAAGCACAGAAAGCATACTCCTGCCCACACAGCAGCACTCTCACCAGTTTCTTCCCACACCTCACTGGGAACATGGAGACAGCCCCTCTGCTGGTGATACTGGTGTGTCCACCTCCACCTTGCTGCCTGTCCCCAGGCCAAGGAACTGTATGAGGGAGATGGAGTGGCAGGAGCATTTCTCCTCTCCCAGCCCTTACTGCAGAGCTGGGCTGCAGCCAGCACTTCTATTTTAAGCCCCACAATGTGTTTGAGGAGGCGAGCGGTGTACACGGCCGAACTTTGCAGCCTGCCAGGGAGAGGCCCTGCTACCCACATCCCTGGAAACTTCCTCTTCTCCCCTCAGGGCTGGTACATGCTCAAGGCAGGTTGTACCAGCTGCTCTTTCCCCTTCCTAGTACAGGCAGGAACTGGGGCAGCCGAAACCAGCATGGCCTGGTGCAGTTACTTCAAAAATATCTGGGCTGCAGGAAGCCCTGAAGGTCCAGCCACACTTCCCTGGTTCCCTCCATGGCACAGAGCATTCACCTGCTGTGACCTGGGCTGGCAGCCATTCTGCGAGAGAGAAAGGCTGGACAGACCTGGCAGGGCTGTGCAGGCAGCAGGATTTACTCTGTAGGTAGTGATTTCCCTGCCGAGCTCCCATGACAGGGAAAAGGGGCCTAGGTGCCCTGTACGATTAGCTGGGCTGGGTGCAGGCAGAGAGGAATCACAGGACATCTTTGTGAGAGGCACCAGACAGCTCACGCTTCTTCCCAAGCAAGACTAAAGCCCACTGCAGGGCCCTTCTGAAGTTCCCCCCCTTCCTTAGCAAGGACCACCTTGCAGAGCCCCTTTCCTCCTGTGCAGAGGGGTGCTGCTGGATGAACGAGCTCCCAGACTAAGCGGCTGTTTATTTTTTAATAAAAACAATCATCCCTCCACTTGTGCTGTGTGTCGTCAGGATGCCTGGGGAGCCAGTGGCACTCAGAGAGAGCACTGGGCAGGAGAGGTGCTCAGCACCAGGCTGAGGCCAGGGGTTGTGGTGGCTGGGGCACAGTGCAGCCCTGGGGATGGCTGAAGTGGGGCTGCTTGACACAGCCTCTCTCCTGTGGGGAGGCAGTGAGCTGTGAACTGGTGCTGGGAGCAGAGACCATGCCAGGATGGTACCCAGAGAAGGATAAAAGGCAGGCTAGGACCTTTTTCCCCTGTGGCCGGGGCTCACTCTTTCTTCCCAAAGAACTTCTTGAAAACAGATTTGTTCTTGGGGCGAAGGGGGCTGGTGGTCTTCTCCCCTAGCGTGTCCCGGGGGCTCCCTGTTTGGGCCACAAAGGAGTGACAGCGTGCCCGGGGCATGGCTGGCACTTGCTCCCCGATGTACAGGGTGACTGAGTAGCTGCTCCCGGCCTCCACTGGCTCCTTGGGCATGACCACTGGGGTGATCTTCTGGTAGGTCGCTGCAAGAAGGAGCAGTCAGTGGGGAGGGCAGGGTGCCAGCAGGCCCTGTCAGCCCCTCAGAGTCCCCCCAGGTGAGGGGCTGCAGCCCAGGGCACAGGTATGTAGGATTGGGTGGGTGCTGAGCAGCATCACATCTGCCCTTGGCTGTCTGTGAGGACAGAGGCAGTGGTGCCATCTCCTGGCAGTGACAGTGAAACCACAGCCATACCTGAGGTGAAGGAATAGGACCTCCTCTTGTTGGTCACCAGCCCATAGTCATCTTCTTGGCAGATGTTGTCCCACAGCCTGGGTGACCCCCTGGGTGACCACTGCTGCTCCTTGTGCCCAGCCCCCTGAGCATCCTCTGAAGCAGAATGGAGACATGTCACAAGGCAAGGCCTCCACAGGACACCACTGTGTCAGCCCCAAAGAGGACAGGGAAATGTATTATTATCTCATTATCCCAGGAAGCGAAGGGAAGTAACTGACCCTTTCCCCAAGCCCTACACCCTGAGACTGCTAGCCCAGATACCACTGAGTTCAAGACTGACCGACAGCCTTCAGCCTCCACCAGTTGGCCACCTCCTCCCCTGGGCTGGGGAGAGGAGTTGGGGGACAATGGCAACCCAGCCAGACAGGATAGTCACCTGCTGCTGCCACAGTCCCCTTGGCTGGGCCATCCTGGCTGCCCAGAGACCTCTGCAGCCGGGTGTTTGAGCAGGGTAACATCACGATCTCCTGGCTCCTGGTGGTCATGACCTGATTGTGTCCCTGGAGGTGGGAGCTCCCAGGGCTGGGGACCTTGCTGAAACTGAAAGTAGCAGAGATTTAGCTAAACCAGTCTGGCTCACCAATGTCCTGCTGGAGCAGCACATGCCAGCAAATGTGGGAGTTGTAGTGAGAGCTGGCTAACCAGCTCCTGGCTACTCACCCCCCAGTACCACCAGTGCCCTCGACACACTGTGCCACTGCCTGGAAGTAATCCACTTCAGGGTAACCTGGGGGCACAGCAAACATCCTGCTGGGTGCTGGCAGTGCACAGGACTGTCCCATAGAGCCAGTCCCTGCTCCAGGTGCCCATGCTTCATGGCTGGCTTCTCCAACCTCCTCCTGTAGGTCCTGCCAATGAGCCTTGGATTTCATGGCAGGGCTTGAACCTTCTCAGGTGTGGGTACAGCAGCAGGAAAACTTCAGTATTACAGGTCTCCTTGCCTGAAGGGCAAGCAAGGCATTTCCAGGCCCCACAGAGTAGATGGAGGAAGACCAAGGTGCAATTATAATTTTACTGACACAGATTTTTTGCTGCTGAGGCACCACTGACGTCAGCCGAGCTATTCCTGATTTATAACTGTGTATGTGGTATGAAAACAAAGCCTCCAAATCCTGCCTAGCAGAGAACTGCTGTTCCTGAGGCAGGTTAGGAGGATGCATAAATCAGAGACAACGTTTTGTTGCTTCTCTTCTAACCCCCTCTGCAGGGGCTGCACCAACATGGTAACCACACAGAGCTGGGCCTCTGCTCTGCCAGCAAGGGTTGCTCACCTGAGTTTTGCTGCAGCTTTGAGACCCATTCGTTCATGAGGGGCTGGGAGGGGGCCCTCAGGAGGTACTCAGAGCCATCCTGCAGCCTTCAGAGACAGGGGACAACAAGTCAGCAATGAGACAGATGTGGGGTGCAGATACCACAGCCCCCACCAAACTGGGAGAGAAGTAGGTGTGAAAGAAAGGAGATGCTCATCTAAGCACTAGACTGAGCTGGCCCTGGCTGGGGATATTGGTAAGTGTCTGCCCCAGCAGGGACGCACTGAGGAGGGTTGTGTCTATAAGACCCCACTGCCGTGGGTCAGGAACTCACTGAAGCCTGAAGCAGTTGGTCTTCTTGGTGTACTCAGCATCTGGGGTGCAGATTGCTCCAGAGAGGTTCAGGGGAAGGGCCACCACGGAGCTCTGCAGCATAAAGGAAAGAAAGAGCAACAGTGGGGTTAGATGGCTCTGCCTTTCCTGGCCATGGGGGCAATGGCATGCTGCTGCCAGCTCCCTCCCATGTTGCCCAAATCTCCCCCAGTGCACCTTGAGGCTGTCCCTGCGGTCCTGGTAGAAGCACAGTGTCTGCCTCATCAGCACAGCATGGAAGAGGCCCCAGGCTCGGCAGCTGGCCTGTGGGACGCAAACAAGGGACAGCTGTGATACCAACAGGTTTGGGAGGAGACAGGTGGTCTCCTGCCACTCAAAATGCAACCCAGCCCCTCTGGGGCTCTGCCCTCCCAGCATGGCCAGGAGCACTGCTGTGGTAGTTCCAGGAGCATCCCTGGCTTCACTCCTGCCCCAACACCTGAACATTTCCTGCCATGTCCCAGCACCCCTGTCCCAAAGAAGCCCCACAGCCATGCCTGTACCTTTCTCCCTCCTGTCTGCAATACGTGCTTCCTTTCCAGTGTCCCCTCCATCATCTGAAACTCCATTTTACCCGGAAGAACCTGGAATGGGACAGAGGGTGAGCGAAGCTACACTGAGGACAATGGTGCCAGCTCAGCCTCCAGGCACATGGGGTCTATCTGACCCATTCCTGATGGGCAATGCCAAGGTGGGAGTGGGATGACAGGAACAATTTCCTGGCACGGGCAAAGGCTGGGTTGTTTGTCAGCTTTTTGGGTGAAGTGCTGCCTTGCCAAGGCTAAGGGCTGGCAGTGGGGTGTGTGTTGCAGAGACCCCAAATTCGGCACCTAGCTCTTCCCCACCAGCTGGAGCAAAGGGGCCACTGGAGTCAGGGAGTCCCCAAACACAGGTCACATTTGCTGGAGTGGGTAACCCAGCTGCTGCCTGGGTTGTTCCCCAACCCCCTACCAGACCCTGAGGGAGAGTCCCCAGCTTGTGGCTCTTACATTGCTGCTCTCTCTTTCTTCTTGCCCATGCTTCCGCCGATCCCAGGCACTGGAGCCATCCAAGGGGACTGCAGACATCAGCTCCTCCAAGTGGGGGGAAACCTTGAGCCCAGTGGGACTGCCACTGCCACTGTGCACCACTTTGGGGCTCTTCTCTCCTGACGGGCTGCAGAGCAGCCGGGCAGTGGTGGGAAGGGTGAATTGGGCCACTAGCACGTTGTTGGCTGATGAGAGGATGAGGGGCCCACCAACAGTGGTGTTGGGGCTGGGCAAGCTGCCTGTCCTGCTCCCTGTCCGCTGGCTGGCACAGCTGCCTCCTGGTGGACTCTGTGTCCGTTGCTCATCTGCCCCATCCCAGATGGCCTGCAGCTCCTCCTCCTCTTCCTCAAACTGGCCATGGGCAGGATGGCAAACTTCCTCAGTGCCCAGCACAGGGCTGTGAGGCTGTGGAGAGGCCAGTGCCCACTCAAAAACAGAGAGCTGGGTAGGGGCGGTGGGGGAAGCCGAGGACCTTCTGGGCTGGCTGCTGCTGGCTGGCCGTGGTGTGGAGGCAGGGCCAGGGATGGCTCCTGCCCTGCCTGGGGTTCTCACAGGGGATGATCCAAGCTCCAGCCGAGTGGCTTTGTGATGCCTGGCCCTGCCAGTGGCACTGGGGCTGCCATCCTGGCCAAGCTGGGTGGCCAGCTCATCCCCCTCTCGACTGACCCACTCATGCTGCATGCCGACATGGGACGGCTGGCTTGGCCTCAAGTCCAGGAGGTCTTTACCAATGCTGCTGGAGTGCTGCAGGATCTGGTGCTCCTCCCCAGCACGGTATGCCCTGTGCTGGCTGTAGCTGGGGTTGAAGCTCACCTCCTCGAACCACGTTCCTCGCTCACTCTTGGAGGATGTCCCCAAACTCTTGCTGGGTCCCTGGGGACTGCACCCATCCATATCTACCTCCTCCTGCCATCCAACCCCATGTGTGCCTGTGGGCTCCCTTGGCCTCATCCCCCCACTCTGCCTCTGCTCTTGCCCCTCTGCCTTCTGCTGCCATGCTGTAGCCCTTCGGTGGCACCCCAGGACCATTGCATCCCGGGGCAGCTCCAGGCTGAGAACTGAGCCCAGGGAAAGGCGGGGACATGTGGTTTTCGGGTCAGAGAGGCAGGGGTCCCGGGGGGCTGCCCCGCATTCGGCATCAATGTCCTGCACCAGTGGGTTCCTGACATAGAGCAGCAGCTCTCCAAGCTGGGGTCCAGCAGCAGCTGCCCCCAGCCCCCCCTTCCTCCGACCACACTTCTGAGGCCACGTGTTGCTGGGGCCATGGTGCTCCTCCGGTGTGGTCCGCAGGGAGCTTTCGCCCATGATGCCCTGGAGCGTCAGCAGCTGGGCCTGCTCTGCCCTTGCCTGCTCCCGCCGCTGCAGGCTGTTGAAGAGGAAGCCAGCCCCAGCCTTAGGCATGGTGTGGGAGACAGCTGGCATCCCACTGCCGGATGCTGGAGGGCGGTGGACGACAGCGGGTGGCTGCTTTGCGGTGGAGGTTTTCCTGGCCTCCACCTGCACCTGGGGAAACAGAGAAGAGAGAGGTGATCCCCACTGCTGGAGCCTCTACCACCCTGTGCCAACTGCTCCCTTTCCATGCTGCACCTGGAAAAGCAAGGAGCTGGGGGGGCAGGCAGATGAAAATGCTCACCAGCAGCACATGCAGAGCTGGGAGCAGCTTCACCTCAACCCCCTGAGGGCTGCTCCCACCTTGGTGCCGGCAGGTTAGAGGCAGGCAGAGGAAGCTCTGCCTGTTATGGAGTCCCTCAGATATGGTACAGTTGGAGCTGACTGTGCCATACGGCTTTTCCCTGGTACTGCTGACCTCCAAGCCATCACTTTTGGGTGGCTACTGAGACAGCAGTCACTGCTGCCCATCCCTGCCACCCTTACATGCCCCAGGCAGCAGAGCAGCGAATGCAAGGGCAAGGGCTGAGTGCAGACTCTTTCCTCCCTTCCCCACAGCCCCTCTCCTGTGTTTCTACAGCTGCAAGAGTCTGCAGGAGCTGGAGCAGTGTCTTCTCATACCTCTTAGGCTAGAAGGTGCCCATTACCAAAACCCTCCTGGCAGCCTGGCAGCCCATTGCCCTGCCTCAATGCCCTCTGTCCTCCTGCCCTCTTTCTCAGGCTACTCAGCCTGGCTGCCCTTGGGGTTCCTCACACACAGACCTTTGCACAGGCTCTGGAGCAACAAACCAATGCAAGCCTGAACAAATCACCAGGCTCCCAGCTCCAGCATTGCAAGCCATGCAAGCTGGAGTGAAACCCACCCCCAGCAAAAGGTGCATGTCACACGGCCCCATCCACTCTTGCCCCCTTTTCAGTCGTCTGCACAAGGAACTGCTGCTGCCCCATAGCAATGGAGCCGGGAGGCTCTCCCACTGGCCACCAGCATGCTGTGCCTTCCACAGCCACCAAAACCACTTACACAGGGGGCCAAACTGCAGCCAGCCCTGTCTGAACCCCCTTCTCACATGCCTCAGCACCCACACTCTGGAGCCCACAGCACCGTGAGAGTTTTCCCTCTCCTGAGGGACCACTGCCAACAGGGCACAGTGGCATGGCCAGGAGGGTTGGTAGCAGACAGGTTCATGCCATGCAGCCACTCTCCCCAGCATGCAGCCTTCAAACGTTACCTCTTCCACTGGCTGGTGAGGTGGCTTTCTCTTTCGCTTTAAACTACCCCAAGTGTTTCCTAAAAGCCCCTGGCAACGCTTCCAAAAGGTTTTACAGCCTGAGAGTTTAGTGGCGGGGAGCTGAGCAGGGGGAGAGAGAGAGACACAAAGAGTTGAGGGCAGTGAGGGCAAGGAGCTGCAGCAGGAGAGCACAGGCAAAGTGGGTGGCACAAGCTGGTCCTCAGCCCTCAGGCATCGCTCAGCATTGGCATGGTCAAAGGCCCTTCTCCTGAGACTGACGCAGCCCCAATAGCTCACTTAGAAATAGCCTGAAGCATGGGGGCTACACCACAGCCCTCACAGCCTCCCAGTCTGCATGGGGGCACAGCCCTGGAGAGCTGCCCTGGCTGCGTGGCAGAGCTGGGTGCTCACCCATGGTTCTGCCAAAGCTGCCTACCATCCTGCACATACCGTCCGCAGTGCCTCCTCCCCTGGCCGCTCGCCGCCGGCCAGCGGCTGTGCCTTCTTCTTCTCACCCTTCTTGCCAACGCTGAGGATGAGGTTGACCGTCCCCCCGAGACCACTGGGGCCCCGCGGTGGCAGCAGCAGCGTGGAGGTCTCAGCAGGATCCAAGGTGACAGGCTCCTTGGGGGGTCCTGCACCACGAGGTGTTTTGCTGCTGGGTGTCCCCCAGCTCTGCTCCACTCCTGATGGGGCTTCTGAGAGGGGTGATGCCAGTGCGGAGATGGCTGTTTCCCCCAGCAGCCATGGCTCTGAACTTTGCACAGGCTCAAGGAGGGAGCAGGGCATGAACTCCACTGGGTTGTGGACACTTTCCAGATGGGACAGTGCACATGAGATGTGCTGCTTCTGGGGAGCAAGGCAAGAGAAGGAATGTGAAGGAAGGCACTTTCTCACGACAGCCTTTGCCCTGCCTGAACCTCAGAGACTCTCAGAGATATTGGCACACAACCCTCCTCTACTTCTGCACCACCCATTCCATCCTGTGCCTCTGCTACCCTCAGCCTCGAGACCGGTCATGCTCCCTGACAGTCTCGACATGTCTGGATACTCACTTGGCTGGTAAGGGATGTGCTTGAGGGGCTCTCTGGGTCCCTCCTGTCCTCCTGCTTGCTCTCCAGGTCCTGCTGGTGCCTCTGTGCTCGCCAGCGCACCAGCACCCAGCCCAGCATGCTCTGCAGCTCCTCCAAGCGCTCCTTTATCTGAGGGGAGAAGAGATGCTGGGCAGCCTGCAAGGACCCCTGGTGCAGGGACACTGGCCCTACCAGGACACTTCACTATAGAGCAGTTTAAGAGGGTTTGAGAAGTGGGATACAGTCACAGTTACATCAGCTCAGGTTTCAGCATCCACTGCTGGATGAAACTCCTTCCTGCCCTGAGCAGGCCCAGGGATGCTTAGCTGGCCCTATCCCTCTTGCTGGGGCTTTGCACCCATACCTCGTTCTTTCCTTCAGGGACTGTCTCCAGAGGATTTGGAGGGTACGCTGAGAGTTTGCCCTGACCCTATTTCCCCTGTCCTTACTGTTGCACTCAGGTAGTGCTCCTCAGACACCAGCTGCTGCCCTGATGCTGCCAGTGTCTCAAACTCCTTGAGCTTCTCTTCGATCCTCCTCTCCAGTTCTTCACATGGAGTTTTTGGGAGGCTGGGGCTGCTTGGGCTTTCAGAGAAGATCTGAGCCCGTGTGTCCTCTGTCCAGGAGCTGTGGGCACATGAAAGACAGATTGAGGAACAACCCAGCCCCTCCTCAGCCCTACAGGCCCCAGAGAAGCCATTCCCATGCTCAGAAATGGGTGGAAGCAGCTTGCTGGGGTAGTGGCAAGGCTGTTGGGGCAGGGCAAGATGCTGTAGGGCTGCCCCACAGCAGGCAGGCCCAGTGCAGACCTTCATTCTGTTCTCCCCACAGTCATGCCTGCCCACAGCTCCAGCACTGCCAACAGCCCGTGCTCCAGCAATGCCATGCTCTCACCAGCTCCTCCTCAACGTCCACAGAAGCAACCCCCATGGCTCACTGCCACTTACATCATGGCTAAATAATCCTTGAAGAAGTGCCACAGCCGGCTGGCCTGTTGCACTCGGGTCCGAGTCTCCCATAGCAGCTCTCGCAGCCCTGCCCACGCCCACAGCGTCTCCTGCACCTGCCGGCTGGTGGGGCACTGCTGAGTGGGGCATAACTCTTGCAAGTGGGCAGCTGCCCTCTCCAGCTCCTCCAACTGTCCCTGCAGGGTCTCTGACACTGCATGCTGAGGATCACAAGGCAGAAAAGGTTCAGGATGCACCCAACTCCTCTGCACCCAGGCTGGACTCCCCTGCATTATGGGATGTAGGGACAGAGGGGAGGATGTAGGGACAGAGGGGAGGATGTAGGGACAGAGGGGAGGATGCTGGCGCACAGGCTGCAGAGAGTGGGAAGAGCTACCCTCAGTGGGGAGAACAGGCAGAGCACAGAACTGCCTGGCTTCCCTGCCCTGGCTTTCAAGAATTGCTTCCCCACCAGTGGGAAGATGAGCAAGGTGCTGGCAGCTGGGGGCTGGTACATGGCAGCTGATGCAAGCTCTCTCCCCTTGCCAGGCCCTCGCTAGCAGAGGGGAATGGAGCAGGGCAGGGCTTGGCTCCACTGGAAAATTCCAGCCTGGCCTGCCACAGTGTGCCAAGGCTTACGACACCTGGCCCCCCAGGGGCCAGTGCCTCACTGGGACGGCCCGGTCAGCCAGGACACCACCCTGCCACAGCGCTCCCCTGACTTACCTCCATCTCCTGCTGGTGGCTCAGCAAGCCCTGCAGCCCTTGGAGGTCCTTCTCGCTCTTCACCGTGGTGAAGCTGCTCTCTGCTCGAGCAATGTCTTGAGCCAACACCTTGGCTCTGCATCGAAGGGCCTCCAGCTGAGGGGATACCTCTGCCACCTGGATGAGCAGGAGGGGACACAGAGGGAGATTAGCCATGCTGTGGGACCCACTGTGTCACTAGTTGCCCCACAGCCCTGGTCCACCCCAGCCTGGGGGCACCCTGCCATGCACCTGCAAAAGGTGCCAGCCATGGGAGAGACAGGGATACCAGCCTCACATGGAGCAGTTCCCATGCATCCCACTTGGAACAGCTGAGGTGCATGCCCTGTCCCAACTAGCTGGCATGTCCAGCTCCAGGTGGACCCCCCAGTTGCATCCCCAGACGCCCCGCCTCCACTCTCTACCAGATGTTCCAGGCTCTCCATCTCCGCTGCCACCTCCATGACTCGCTCCCGCTCCTTCGCTGCATCATTCAGCATCTCCACAGCCTCCTGCAACTCTCCCAAGGGGCTGCTCATGTCCTCACTGCTCGGAGGCTGCTCAGCCTGGGCTGACAGTAGGGGAAAAGACCCCTGCAAGCTGCAACACCTGCTCCCTGGCTGAAGCCAGCAGAAACACCAGGCATAAGAGAGATGGGGAGTGACACCCCAGGCAGCTGGGCTGGAGGGGAGCACCCAATAGGGTCCCCTTGCCAGCCACAGACCAACCCTTGGTCCAGTCCCAGGTGCTGTGTGATCCCAAGGGATGCCTGGCTGTTCTGCTCACCGCTGCAGATCCCTGCTGGTTCTGTGCCTCCTCTTCTTGTAGGTCCTGCAGAAACTCAGACAGCACCAGGGAGTCCCGCAGATCTGCTGCCCGGCGCCGCAGGGCTGCCTGCACATGTGCCAACCTGTGGGGAGAGGTGCCCATCAGAGGTGCTGGTGGCCTTTGCACCTCATCAGGGAGAGCATCCTCCTCCTCACACCTCATCAGGTGCCTCCTTGCACCTCCTCGAGGTGAGCAGCCTCCTCCCCACCCAACCTAGGGACCGGGGAAGTGGCACCTTCCCCCATGACTCACTTCTCCTCCACCATCTCCACTTTCCTCTGCATCTTCCTCGCCCCCTCGTGCTCAGTGGGCGACTCGCCTGCTGTTTCCTCCCGCAGTGCCTGCAGCTTGAGGCCACACGTCAGGAGCTGCTTCTCCAGCTGGCCCATCTCTTCCAGGTCCTGGCGCAGCTCCGCCGGGCTTCTCATGGCGGCTGGTTCTGAGAGCGACCCTGACACAGCTTGCAGCCACTGCTCAGCCTGGTCCAGCTCCCCCACCAGCCTCAGTGCCTTCAGGGAGAGCAGGGAGCCCATCAGCCTGGCTCTGAGCCACCCAGAGGAGGCAGGAGACATGCTGGCACCCTGTTGCGGGTACCTGGGGCACTGGCAGCTTGGGCAGCACAACTGGAGCAGCGTGCAGGCTGCAAGGCCCGCTGGAGCTGCAGCTCTGGTCCCCACGGGCACCAGCCTCACTTGCTGATCCCAAGCAAGCTGCTGCAATTGGAGCACACCCATGCCCACTCCAGCCCTGCCTCCATGTACCTTATCAATTTCTCGCAGCACAATGCCATTCTCCTGGTGCTTCCTCTGCAGGTCCTCCCACAACTCCCCCAGTTCTCGCAGCATGGCCTTCACCTTTGGGCTCCCCGGGGGCCTCCCTGGCATTGGCCCCTCCTGGGAGGCAGGGAGGGCAGTTAGGATGGGTCCCACCTGGTGTCACCACCGCACTTTACACCCGGGGTGGGCTTACCAGGAGCACAGCCCTGACACTGGAGCTGTGGTCCAGGGGCTTCTGCTGTATCTGTGCTGCCTTCAGGCTCTCCACAGGACATGGGGAGACTCCAGGACCCACACTCTCATTGTACAGGGACAGAGTCTGCTGAGGAGCAGGGAGACATGCTGGGTTAGTACCCAGACCAGGGATAGGAAGGCGTCAGGGAAGTGAGTCCTCCCCCAACACTGTTTCCCCTGATAGGGGAGGGGGATGCAGAGGGAGCAAAGGGAATTCTTGGGGAGACATTACTGTGTTCACTGCCTGGCAGACATCCTGCACTTGGACCTCCAGCTGCTGCATTCCCCTCTCAGTCTCTGCCTCTCTCCTCCTCCTGCAGAGAGAGGAGAGGGACAGTCAGGACTGCAAGGTCCCCCCTTGCACAGGGGACCCCCATCCCTGTTCCCTCTGACTCCATGCCACTTTCACAAGCTGGTACCTTTTGTTGTCCCCTCCATGAGGGGGCTGTCCCACTGGGGAGCAAGGGCTGCTCTCCTCCCCTCTCTTGTGCTCTGCCATCTTCCCCAGCACATCTGTTGCCACCTGTGACACAAAGGCTCACATTTCTTCTTGTCCAGCCCAAAGCATGCACCGCTTTGCCCTGGGCCTAGCACTTCTCACCTCCCATAAGCAGTGGCACCAGATCCAGGCATGTTCAGCTTTTTCCCAACACCTGAACCCCTTTCCCACAGGCTTCCTTGTCTTCTTGAAGTGGAGGCGCAGGAGATGTCTGGAGGAAGACAATGCTTACCATGCTCCCGAGTCCTCTTGTCCACTTGGCTCCTGCTTCCTTTCCCACAGTCCCATGGCTGCTATTATCTCCTCGGGGCTCAACATTCAGAGCCACAGCTTTGCTCCCTGGGGAAATGTTTGCTAGCGCTGGAGCCTTCTCTGACCTGGGAAAGGGAGGCAAGGGAGGACCAGTGGAGCAGAGGATGAATAGACACCTTAAGTAGAGCTGGTGCCCCAGAGACAGCCTGCCAGGGGCTAATCCAGGTCTTTCCCAAGCCTCTGGCTCCAGTGCTGGGGAGTTGGGGTTGCAGTCACGGGGCTCCTGCCTGGCTGTGCTCTACCTCAGTGCCTGCTGGAGCTGTGCCCAGCTCTCCTTGACATCTTGGTGCTTTGAGGTGACCTGGGCTGCCAGGCTGGGCTGCAGGTTTAGGAGCTGGGACACGGTCACATCCAGCATCTGGAGAAGAGAGAGCAGCTGGGAAGTGATGGAGGCAGGGCTCATTAGGGATGAACTACCGCCGGTCCTGTGGATGCAGGAGAGGCAGTGAGTGCCAAGCCCAGTCCTCTGCTGTCCCTGTGGAGGCTCCCCCATTTGTCACACAACCTCAGCCACCCACACAGCTGTGGGGTGTCCACAGCGTCCCCAGCTCTGTTGGTGGCAGAGCTGACCTGGGAAGGCACACATCCCCCCTCCGTTGGGATGCTCCCCAGGGCTCATAGGATGAAGCAGAGCCTTGCACTTACCATCACCTGGCTGGCTATGTCCCTGACATCCCGATCCTGGCATGGCACACCCTCCACTGACTTCCCTGTGCCGCAGATGCTGCTGTGCTGTAAGAATAGGCTGCAGTCAGTAGTGGGAGGAGGATGGGGCCCTGTTTTCAGCTCCAGTAGAAAGGAACAGTGCAAAACAGCACTTGCCACTCTGGCTCCCCTTCTTATATCAGGCCCCATTCCCCAGCTCCCTTTCCAAGCCTCAGGCTGAGAGTGCTGGGACCGCAGCAGCCCCCACTCAGGGGACAAGGGCAAGGTGCTGCCCATCAAGTTTCCTTCAGGCCACGAAACAGCCCTGCACAGCAGGGTGCACCTGGCTCCAGCGTGGGTACCTTCGCATGAATGGCCCCGAGCAGGATATCCGCTTGCTGGAAGAAGGCGGACACCTCCAGGGCCAGCTGCAGAGTCTCGTGGTGCTCCTTCAGAGTCCCCTGCAGCCGCAGCCACCTGCGCAGGTGGAAGAGGAAAGGTGAAGGGCAGTCCGTGCCTATCTGGGGAGCTGTGCAGAGCTGGGCCAGCAGGTTTGGGGAATCCTGCTTCCCAGCCTGTCAGCTCCTGGTGCTTGGCTTGGTCCCGCTAAGCCTATGTGTCCTCTGCTCACGTTTTGTTGAGGTGTTTGCGCCGGGCTGAGATGTTCCTGCTCTCACTTTTGCCTTGCTTCTCCAGCTTCTGGGCCAGGCTGTTCACCTCCTTGTGCAGACTCTGGAACTGCTGCTCCTCCTGGCCCAAGGAGAGAGAAAGACATCAGCATCCCTCCTCAGGGATCTGTGCTATGCCCCAGCCTTATGAGCTTCAGGGTCCCTCACATGCTGGCAGCTCCCCAGCAGCCTCTCACCTGCTTCAAGTCAAGGATGCGGCGGGTGAGCTGGATCTTGTCTGGGCTTTCCTGTAGGAGGGCTGCCAGAGATGGCTTCTCCTCCTGGGCCAGGGGAAGGTGTGAGAAGGTGGGGGGACAGCCAAACTGTCCCCTTCCCCAGACCATGCTTCCCACCCCCCCCACCTTGTGCTTGATCCATGCCTCCAGCCGCTCAGCTTTCCTGTTGAAGTCCTGCAGACTCCGTAGCCCACCCAGGGCTTTGCTCTGGCTGGCAGCTGTCTGCTTCAGGAGCTGCCACTGACCCTGCAGGGCCAGCAGCTGCCTCCGCACTGCCTCAGCACTGGGGCTTGCCTGCCACATCAGCTGCTCACCCATCTGTGGGGCCAACGGACCCACTCAGCATCAGGGGTTCCCAGGGACCCTCCACTCCAGAGGATGCAACAGGGACACAGGTGCTGTGGGGAATGGGAGCCATGCCACAGCCTGGCCTCACCTGGTTGAGCTTTATCAGAGTGTTCTCAAAATCCTTCATGTCCCGCTGCAAGGTCTGAGCCACCTCCTCCCAGTCCTGGAGATCACAGCCGTCCTTTAGGTCCCGCAACTTGCCTCGCACCCAGCCCTCCGCCTGCAATGTAGGAAGAGCCACATGGCACCAGAGCCTCAAGGACATGGCTTTAGGTATCCAAGCCCAAACCCTCCCTAACTGTGACAGGGACAGGAGTGCACCCTTTCAGCTAACAACCCATTTGCTCTGAGAACCAACAGGCCAGCAAAGGTGCTCAGGACAGCATCCACAGCAATGGGGGTCTGAAGGTAAGCAGCATCTCACTTCTTTCCAGCATCTGCATCAGCCCAGCAGGAGAAGGTGGGCCCCCTTTGAGCAGGCCAGTCTGTGCAGAATATCCCTGCACAAAGCATCTCTTTTCCCTGCACCTTGCTCCTGACTGCAAACCTCCATGCACTCTTCCCACCATGGCATGGAAGCTGCCCGCCCCACTATCTTGGTTCCCACGCTGCTGGGGAGGGACATGATCTGAGAGGAGGAGGAGGAGGATGGGGGTTGGGAGGAGCATGTGCACATGGAGAGGAAGCAGGGCCCTGGTGTGGGCTGACCCCCTCTCCCTGGGGCTGACAGCCAGGGAGAGGCAGCCAAACATGATCTCATGCCACAACCATGGCTTCGCTCGGGGCCAGGAGTTCAACCCTCCCTGCTGAGCACCCCACCCCACAGCTCACATGAAAGGCTGCCGGTGGCCCCCCCATCCCACTTCCCATGCAGCCCCTTGGGCGAGGGCCCAGGCTGGCCTCACCTGCAGCATCTCCCGGTTGAACTGGGCTACCAGAGGACTTGGGTCGAGGAGGAGGGCTGCTCCCACTGTGCTTCGCCCACTGCATCTTGGTGCTGCAGTGGATTCCTTGCCCTTAGGACTCTCTTTCTGGGGTGACGACACTGGGGATCCTGCCAGCTGGGGAGAGCAGAGGTGGTGGTGCATGGGGGGTATCAGTGTGATGCCCCAGGAAGCCCTCCCCATCACGTCCCAGGAGCATTTTGGAAATAAAGTACTTAAGCATGCCTTGTCCTTGATCCCACTCCTTTAACAACATATTTGGGGTTCTCCCCCAGCAAAGCAAGGCACTGTTCCCCTCTACCAAGGCCACACTGGTAGCTTTTGGAACCCAAGCCGGAGTTGCTGGGCTGTTCCTCAGCCCTGGGTCAATCCAGCACTTAGGCTGGTCCCCACACCAACACTGGAGGTGGATGTAGTGCTTGCTGCCTCTCCAGCCTGAGGCTGCACATCTCTGCAAGGAACATTCATGTCTGCAGCTTCCATTTAGTGTCACCCTGGGGGATGCTGCCCAGGATGGGATGGGGAGGCCATGGGGCAGGTCCCTGGTAAGACTCACCACTCCTTTGGGGGCATCCAAGATCCCCATCCCCAGTGAGTGGTTGGAGGGAGCAGAGAGCACAGTGTCTCCCATGGGACTTGGCCTTGTGGCCAGTTGACACCGATGAAACCCTCTGTCAGGGTTCCAGCTCTGCCAGGGGTGACATCAAAGGTCAGCCAGTGAAAGTGCTGGCCCTCATCCAAGCTCAGCCCCAGCTGCACACAGCCCAAGGGGCAGCACCATCACCCGTGCACTCACTTCCCACCCTTCTGCCCAGGGATGGGGATCTAACTGCACACTAACTGGTGGCAAACAGGAAACTGAGCATCTTCAGGAGGAACCAAAAGGTGCAGGGCTTGCTGCCTCCTCTCACCAGGCAGAAATTGCTCCTGGGGTCAGCCTGGGACAGCCCTCCCACCCTGAGAGGACTGGGTGTGAGCTGCTCCACAGTGTCCCACCTGCCTCCAAGCCCATCAGGGTGCAATTTCCCAGGAGCCTGTGGAGCAGTGGGGTTCAGGCAACTGTTTCAGGCTCTCTAAGCACTCTGGCATGTGCTGCCCTGCTGACAGCATGAGAGTCACTTTTCAAAGCCTGCTCTGCCTAACCACAAGAACTACAGAAATCCTCTGTCTTTTTTTTTTTTTTTTAAATAGCAACACAGATTCTCAGGCCCTCCTGCGACTCTGGGATCTTTAATCTCTTGACTTGTCCAGGGCTGGAGGAGCCCATAATCTGGCTCCCTTGGAAGCAATAAGACCTGTGAATGCTGGCCAGGGGGCTGACCCCTTGCCCCATAATGCCCAGGTTGTCCCCTCACTCACTCAAAGAGGTGAGGCTCCATCCACACCTGGGCACACCACCAGCAACCAGCATCATTGCTCAGCTCCAAGTTGTACATCAGACCCCCCTAAACAGTGAGGGCAGAGGGACATACCACATAATAGGGAGAACATCTGTCCACTGGAGAGCGGAAAACACTGGCCTGAAGATTCCCAGGCTCCTGCTGCTCATCCTCTGCATCCACGTCCTTCCTGAGAAAGACCTAGAGGCAGGAAGGCACAGCTGTGAGCCTGGCAGTGCTCAACCATCCCAGCAGCTGCAGGGGACAGAGGACCACGCACCCACCTCCCCCTGTCCTGGGCCAGAGGAGGCTGCTGGTAGCACCCAGACACTACTTGGCTGGGCTCTTGCCCATCCCTCCTTAGGCATCTAGGCCAGGCTCCTCCGAATGGCATCCACAGCTCCTGCTACAGGTTCAGCAAGTGGCAAGGGCTCCTAAACTTGCTTCATCCAGCATCTTCTCCGTTTTAGCTCCCACTGTCCCCCTTGAATTGACTCCAAAGCTAGCAGAAACCCATTTAGTCAGCATCACTGGTCCCTGGTCATCTAAGGATGGTCAGAGTGAGACTCCCCTGGCCTCCTCCAGGACAGGAGGGCAGAGGCACAAGGGCACAGGAGGACATTAACTCCATCATCATGAACATGAATCCTCTCAGCTGCCAATCCCTGACCTCAGCCTAGCTGGGAGACAAGAGTTAAGGGGGCAGCTGGCTTGCAGGGAAGGGCTCCCACAGGACAGGAGTGAGGATGGAAGCAGGAGAGGCAGGAGGAAGGAAGTCCAGGAATTGCAGCCAGACAAAGAGAGGAGGTCCAGGATGAACTCCACATTACCTTATCCTTAATGGAGCCCAGCCCCAGCAGGAGAGGTGTGTGGGATTGTTTGGATCATGCCCAAGGGCATTAAGTCTCATCCTCTACAGATGGATCTTTTCTTGGGCTGTTGGATATAGCAGGCCAACATAGGAATCTCCTTCCACTCTCTCCCTGGGGCCATCTTGCTGTATCTGTCTTAACAGCCTACCAAGCACGCACAGGGCAACACGAACAGGGTGGTGGGCAATGTGTGCTGCTCCAACACCCCCTCCTCTGAGATGGCAGCAAATGGGGTGCTGCATCAGCCAGAGCCAGAGCCAGCCTACCATCGCTCAGGCCACTGCAAACTGGAGACACTGTCTGAAGGGGAACCAACCCAGGCAAATCAGAACTCCCCGCTTGCACAGAATGTGGCTTCCTACCATCTCTACAGGACTGCAGAAGAGTCCCAACACGGATGGCAGCCCCCAACATTAGAGCTGCTGCCACCAGAAAGGCTCAGAGCCCCACAAACATCCCAACAGCCCTATAACCCCTTGAAGAACAGCACCACTGGACCTTTCCAGGGGCCTGCAAAGCCTAGCTGGTGGCTGCAGAGGACAGACCATCGCACCACGCCACATCATCCCATCCCAGGCAGGAAGAGCAGGCAGGGCATGAGGCTGAATCATGGCTCAGCAGGCACAGTGAGAACTCAGAAGGAGGGTACCAGAAGGGGAAGGCACACCCCTGCTTGACCGCGGGGCTGAGAGGTTTGGATGCACATTTAGGGAACGACAGGGAGCTAAAAGTGAAGTGCTTGTGCAGCATAAGACCCTAGGAAGCCCCTCTTCTAGGCAGTAGCGTCCCACACCAGCCACTATGGCTCAGCCGTGGGAGACAACCCTGCAGGTGACACAGGAGCTTTATTTAAAGTCCCTGTCTCAGATCCGTCAGCCGCAGGAAAACAGGGCTGCCAGCAAAAGGATGACTTCATCCTTCCTGCAGAGCTGCTCCACCGGGACCGCCCCCCCTCCTTGGTCCCTCTGGCTGGAGCTGGGTCCTCGATCCAGCAAAATAACAAACTCTCTCAGCAACTGAAGGCTGGGAGAAGGAGCTGTGCCTGCCTCAGCATCCATGAGGTGCTGTGCTAAATGCTCCCCAGCAGGACCCCTGGCTTCACAATATGAGCAAAGCCACATGTAAAAGGAGTGCAGCAGCCTCAGCTGCCTCCTCTGCAAATGCTTCTTTTCCTTTCTAAAAGTAAAATTAACACAGCACATATGCTTGCTGTGAGAAGGTGCCAGTGACATCCCACAAGCAAGAAGAGTGGGGCCAGACCCTTCTGGGTTGCACTGTGCTTATCCTGGAGGAGCCCCTTATTCCTACAGGGCAGGAGTGAAGGGCAGAGCCACAGGTTGGGGGGCACACTTGGGAAAGCACTACTGTGCCCCGTGTGGGAGACAGCATCCTTCTCTCCTCTGGCTGTCATCTCACACATTTTCCCCTGAGCTCTGGCTCCCTCTCTCCCTCCCAAAGCTCCATCTTGTAGCCTGCCCCCCTCTTCCAGCTCCACACGCCCATGCTGGACAGGGAGGAGGCGCTGATCCTGGCAGCCTCCTGGGAGTCCCACAGCACCCAGCACATGTCCCTACCTTATATGAAAGAGGGGAGCCCTCATGCCGATGCCCCCTGGGCTGCGCAGACTCCGGCCGCCCAGCAAGGAGCTGCTTGCGTGCCGGAGGAAGCGGCAGCTCTTGCGAGGCTGTGCCTGGCCTTTATTGGCAATGAAGACGAGGGCTTTGGCAGTGGGCTGTGTAGCTCTCCCTAGTGCTATCCTGCCGGGAAACCAGCTGTTGCAGGTCAGGGTTAAAGCCCAAGGAGTTCCTGCTTGCTCTTGCCAGCAACGCTGAGGTCTCCAAGCTGTCTTCCGCTCCATCCCAGCCACACAGGGGGTCTGCCGGGCTCTGGCACTGATGGATTTGTACCTCTGTGCCTGCTAGCACTCAGACCTGGAGTGGGTGCCGGGAGCCCTGGGTCCTGTTCCTTGCCTTATCCCAGATTTGCCTGGCTGTGTGGCCCTTCATGAGTCACTTCCCTTCTCCTAGCCTCCGTTTCCCCTCTGGTAAACGGGAGAACTAGTTCCCAGCTCCCCACACACAACTGCATCATCACAGGCATTCCAAGAGCTGAGCCCTCCGTAGCCAGGCTCTGGGGCAGGGCTTTTCCGGCTCATCTTGGCCATGGGGAAAGCTCATCTCCACTCACCCGCAAAGACCTCCAGCCTGATGGTACAGAGAAGTGCATGGGGGGCACATGGGAGGAAAAACAACTACCCCAGGAGCCCTGCAACGAGTGCTGCCTTGACGACATGGGGACAAGGAAGCACGGATGGCCGCAGACTCTCCAGGACGTACCCATCCCTTGGCAGCCAGGAATGGGGAACTGCAGGGAAGACGGGGAGAGAGCAGGGCACAGGTACTGGGATCGCTTACCTTGAACTGAGCTTTCCCTGTCCTGCTGTTGTTGTTGTTGTGGTTCCTCTCGCTGCCGACCCGGGCAGGGTCCCCAGGTCTCCCCGCGTTCCCCGCACCAGCCTCCCCGTAACGGTTGGACAGCGTGATCTTCTTAATGGAGCGGGCTAGGGAGTTGCGGTTCAGCCGGTCCTCGTCGGTGCCCCCGTCCTCGCCAGGGCCGGGGCTGCGGGGCTGCTCCGCGGGAGCGGCGGGGCCGGCCCGGGCGTGGGCCAGGTAGAGAGAGATGCGCTCGTTGATGCTGCGGCGGAGGCCGCGGTGGCTGTCCAGGGCGGAGGCGAGGGCGATGCCGGGGCAGGCGGCCCCGGGAAAGTCGGCGGCACACTTGGGCAGCGAGAGCCTGGTGCTGATGGTGAAGGGTTGCACCTTCCTCGCCGTGCTGCCCGACATCCTCGCCCTCCCCGCTGCCGCCTGCGGGCAGTGGGATCCCCGGCCCGGGCACTGTGGGGCTAAGCGGCAGTGCGGGGCCCCCTCCGCCCGGGAGAGCGAGTGATGGAGATCGCCCGGGCGGCGCCGGCTCCTTCGCCGGGGCGGGCGGCTGCGGCGGCGCTTAGCAGCGGGGCAGCCCCGTGGTGGGGGGCAGCGGGGCGGGGGGCGGCCCAGCTCCCATGGCCGGAGCGGCGAGGCTCGGGCGGCCGTCCCGCCTCGGCTGCCTGGGGCGGACCCTCCGCCCCCACCGGGGCGCGTCCCCTCCCCTGCCCGGTCCCTCCTCCCGCGGCGGGCCGGGGAGGCGGGGGGAAGCGTCGCGCCCTGTCCTGCCCTGCCCGGGCGATGCCGTTCCTTCCCGTCCCGTCCCTGCTCGTGCCCGGCAGGTTTCAGTCGTCCGCCTTCCTGCGCAGGTTGAGGAGGCAGAGCAGGCAGGTGAGCAGGGCCTGGCGGCTCTCCCGGGAGCGTAGCCGGCGCCCCAGGCGGCGGAGAGGCGGCAGCAGGCGCCGGCGGGCCAGTGGCAGCAGGCGGGCAAGCAGGGCGCGCAGCAGCGGGGCGGCCAGCGGCGGGGCGGGCATGCTGCCCCCCGGGCCTGCGGGCGCACCGTCAGACCCCTGAGCTAATCTGGCGGAGCGGGGGGTGCCCGGCAGCTCCTCACGTTTTGGAACTTCTGAGCCGAGCGGGATCCTGGGGGGTCTGCACCCTCCTGAGAGTGGGGCGCTGCTTGGGGCAGGCTCGAGGGTGAAGCGCTGGAGGGAACTGCTGCCCACCTCTTGCCCTGGTGACTCTTACTCTCCTTGAGATCCTTCCTGCTTCCACCGCTCAGGCGTTTGTCCCAGAGGAGCCTGGACTGCTCAGCTACCTCAACGTGGACCTGCCACCAGCCCAAATGGCCAGAACAGCTCCAGAGCAAGGGGCAACAACAAAAAAACCCCAGCTGTTCATTTAAATGCCCCCTCCTCCCCTGCTAGACACATGCTCCCTGTAAGTGATACTGCTTAGCAGCCAAGACCCCATTTGTCGCGGTGGCAGCGCTGGGGAAAGAAGGGGGGCGAAGGAGGATCAACATCTGCCCACCACAGAAATGTGGGCCGGCAGGATGGAATTCTATTTCACTACAGGTCTTTGCTGAAGCCCTTGGGCAGGCAGCTGAGTCCAAAATATTCTTGCCTGTCATTCCCTGACAGTGCAAGCAATTGCCACCCTGCTGCCACAAGGGCCGGGAATGTGGGCCAGGAATGCAGGCCAGGTGGGCCAACAAGAGAGTGGGCAAAGGATGGCCTAAGGCACAACATCCTGAGGAGCAGATGGGTACTCTCCTGAGAAAGAGCATTGATCTGGCTCCATGTGGGGCTCCAGAGCAGGATGGTAAGCAGTGTCCCATGCTTTCCAGCTGTGTTCCCAAGCTGAGTTAGCTTGCGGCAAGCAGCCAGGGTGAGGGTACAGACAGGAAGGTCCATGGTCACGTCTGTGCCCTTCCACTTCCCTCCTGCTCCTAACCTTTGTTTTGTTCCTGGTGGCTGTCTGTCTTCATTTCCTTCCCTTGTTGTTCCCTTCAAAAACCCTGCCAAGTCCCTACCCTTGGCTCTCGCTCAAGAAGAATTTAGGAGAATGAACAGACACAAGGGAGTGACTGAAAGCTACTGCTCCGTTTCCCTGCCTGCCTGCTGTAAGCTGTCCTGTGCCCAGTGTGTCCCATCCAAGGGTGGTTGGTTCAGCCAGGGTGACCTTTCCCAGCCCCACAGATTGCTCTCAGGGAGCCAGCCATGGATGAGGAAAGCAGGCTGGCTGTGCCTCACAGGGACACCATGTGCTGCTGAAACAGCCCCAGAGCTTCAAGGACCAGGGCTGACGTCAGCCCCTTGGGACTGGCCTCCCGGAGGCTCCCAGGCTCCTGGTCTGCCATGGTCAGAAGGCCCTGGAGCAGGCGCACTGCTCTGCTGTGTGCTGCCACCATCCCCATGCTGGTGGTGGTTCGGGGAGTGGGAAGAGCTCAGATGAAGGAAGCAGGAGCCAAAGCTTTGCTGCAGCTGTGTCAGGGTTTATGTTTCCCTGGGAGGGAGCTTCTCCCCTTTGATCAGGGAGGCAGTGGGTGCAATGCTTGGCCTGCTCTTCAGACTCTTGGGTTCGCTATGCTGCAGCTGATCTGGGGCAAGTCAGTGCCTCACTTGCTGCCTCGATTTTCCCCAGCCGTACAACTCCGGTGGGAATATCATGTCCCTGTGCAGTGGGCCCTCGCAGTGTCTTACTCTCTGTGCAGGCTGGGGACCACTGGGGTGAAAAGTGCAGCACCCCAGGTCAGTGTTAGTGACCACAGTGATGGAGAAGAGTGGAGATCTTATTCGCCTGGGAGCATCTCACTAGGAAAAGCCCTGCCTGAGCTGGGGGAACTGACCATCCTACCATCCCTGCTGGGGGAATCCTGTCCTCCAGTCCCACGGGGGAAAGGGAGGTGCTGGCCAAGTGCAGAGATGTTGCAGCAGAGGTGTTGCAGCACATTGCTGGGGGCATTGCCTCTGAGTGTTATGTTGCATGTGAGTGTAATGTTGCAGAGGTGCACAACGGGTGGGACGGCAAATCCCTTGGGAACAAAGGGACTCCGGTGTGTGGCCTCTGCAGAACCCTGTTTCTTCCCAGGGAGGGAGCGCATGAGGCTCTCACCCTGCTTTGAGAGCCAGATGCTTGCAACATTCCAGCACTGGGCAAAAGGTGGGGCAGGGTTTAATTGCTCTTGGGACTTGTAAAAGGCAGATTTTTGTCTCTTGCCAAAAATGCAGAGACCTTACTGAGTCTGGAAGGTCAGGGTCTTTAGCCTCCATTCACAGTTGGGCAAAAGTACAGCCGAAGGAGTTGAAGGGACATAAACCTGCTCCTCTGTCAAGTCAGGAACATAGCTGGGAAAAGAACACAACCTTAAAAGAAAATGAAATCACACCAGTATCTACTTCGAAACACAACATTTAGGGCAGCAGATTCCTGTGCCTATGCATTTCCTGGGCCAAGGCACTTAGAGCCTTGCTGTAACTTCTCTGATCCCCAGAGGACTTTCTGGTCCTGCAGTCACTGCTCTGTCTCTCAACACTTTTTCTTGTCTATCCTTTATCCCTCTCCATGGGGAGGGCTCAAAATTATTCACCAGGTGGTTGGCTTCTGTTTTGCTGGGTACCTGTCAAGGCTGCTTCCTTGGAGGCATCCATTTTCTTTATCAACCAATGGCACAACCAAGTATCCCCTATTAATTGCTGGGAAAGGCTGAGATCCACTTCCTGAGTCCAAACAGGGACTGTATACTCCTCCATAGCACTTACTTCTCTCAGATGATCAGCTAGCAGCTGGACATCAGCAAACAGGGAGCAGGAGATTTCCCTGGGCAGCACAAGGACAGTGTGGGTTTCTGGGAAGCCTGTGGATGGAGCAGCACTGGCAATGAGAGAGCAGGGCTGGAAGCACCCACATAGGGGTCTGTGCTCAGAGTGGTGGCAGGACTGTGTAGAGCTGTCCTCTCTTCTCCCTGCCATCCCAAAGCCCCAGAGATTCGACTTATTCAAAGCTTCCTTCTAAGCTGCTGAGCAGGGGTGAGTTCACAGCCCACACATCCTCTGGACAGATCTCAGACAGCCAATGTCTCTGTCTCCTCTGGGAGAGGATGACCCACTGGGAGACCACCTCGTAGGAGGCACAGCTGGAGGGTCATGGGTGTGGGACATGCCAGCCTTTGGGCTGGACACAGCTGTGCTTCCTCCTGGTACAACTCCTCTTGGTTAGTGCTGCCTGTTGGTGGAGGGAGTGTCTTTTGAGCAGTCCTATGCCCCATCAGACAACAGGCAAAGCTGGCACAGGCTTTGGGAGTGGGCTGGGTCCCTGGCTGTTGTCCCATGAGCAACCTGCCAGCACTCAGCCTGCTCCCAGAACAGCATCTCTGCTTCATGGGACGGCAAGACCCTAGTGCCGTCTCAGAGGCAGGCACAGGGGACAGAGCAGCCATTGGCACTTGCTCGTGCTCAAAGATGCTGTTGCATGATTAAGGTTCCAAAGGATTTAGCAGAGAGCGGGAATGCTGAGAAGAAGGGCATAGCCCTCTGGTACCTCTTCACAAGGTTTACGAGATTCGCTGCAAATCTTGCTCTGGGCATAGCACTGGGAGCTTACAGAAATAGTAGGGAAGTGAGAGGAGAGGTGGCCAGTCTTTTCTCTGAGGAGACCTTACCCTTCTGGCAGCGACCCCAGAGGGTGCTGGTGGTGGGGACACTGGTGGCACCCAAGCACCCAACCCCCGCGCAGGAGGAACGCAGGCCATTCCTGCCAAGGAGGGACGTGAGCACTATAAATAGTTTGTTTAACGCACTGCGGCCAGGCCCTGGAAAGCCCCAGCCCATGCACGTTCCCTGCTGTTGGCGCTGAGACAGCAGCTGTTGGAAAAGACCAAATCCAGCAGCTGCTGCCTGGTACTCCTGGCCCCTGCCCCATGCCCGAGTCCTCCCAATCCCCCTGTAGGGTGACTGAGCCCATAGCATCCTTTGGCACAGGTGCCGAGGCTTGCTAAGATGATTCCAGCTCTGTACTGGTGTTGGTGCTGCTTCCTGGGCTGGTGGTGGCTGCAGGATGCTGCTGGTGTCAGAGGGACAAGGAGGATAGGGAGAGGGCTTTCCTCCCTGACAGCCCTTGCAGTAGTGGACACGCCACTGAGCCTGGTGGGAGCTGTGGGGCCATGCCGGTGTCAGCTGCTGCCCACCCGCGTGTCCTCAGCTGTGGCTCTACCCAGCCCTGGCTTGGGATGCTGGGCTGGGATGCTGGGCTGGGCCCCCCACACCCTGTCTCCACTTGCACAAAGGCCCCTTGTGCAATGACATTCCTGCAGCCGTGGGCCCAGCGCAGAGTGAAGCATAGCCAAGGGGGAGACGGGGCCAGAGCCCAGCTGCCAGGGCAGCTGGTGGGGCCAGGTGGGGATGGGCTGCGGTCCTGGC